GTGATGATAATGATGATGATGACGACGACGACGGCGGCGACGACGACGGCGACGACGACGATGACGACAACAACAATGACGATGACGCTGACGATGTTGAGGTTGGTAATGATAATGACGATGATAATGACGATGATGGTGATGGTGACGCTGCCGGTGTCGGTGGCGATGATGATAACGATAACGACGATGATGACGTTGATGACAACGACGATTGTAATAAAGTTGAGAATGATACATATTACTATGATGTTGATTATTCTGCAAATATTTTTTGTTTTGAATGGCGTTGTTTAGTCTTGGCAGTGAAAAACGTATGAATATGAATATCGAAAATGCAGATCCTGATGCATGAGGTAAATTTTGTGTCGTTATACGCGTTGACAATTTTAGGGCCAGATTTGGCCTCATTCGGGATCACCAGTTAGCCATGCCAGGCTTATTTAATGTCATGAAGTAAATTTGACACGAACTTCCACCTTTTGCTGACGAAAAAAATACCTAAAACAAAAGAGAAGATACTGTGTAGAGTATAAAGAGAAAATTGCCTTTGAAAATGTTTACTTATCATAAACTTAACATTTCTATAAACATAATAAGTTAATGTATATACCTTATCATTACGCTCGCAAAGGAACTTGAGCCGTTGAGCTTTCTTGTGCATAAATACACCATCAAGGTGTCCACTTTCGACGCTTCTAATCTCAATCGCCTTATTACCCCAGCCCATTATTTGTCCTGTACCTATGTAGGCAACACTCGTGGGCATTTCACCCCACTGAAGGACCATTGTTTTGGAAACTCTGCCGTAAGTGTTAACATACACACCTTCGTTATCATAACATAATAATAACTGCATGCCATTGCTATTTGGTAATGCGACGATACAATGTGGACAAATAGGTCCTTGGGTCTGTAATAGAACAAGAAAGTATTTATAATAGAATAAAATAAAAAAATAAAAATATATACGCAGTAGGTATTTGTATGTTACACATACATCGTGAAATAAAAATGATTATAGCATCTAAAAGCAGGTTCAATCTGATTTTTATTATTCCAGAAATTTTAGTAAAATGTATTTATTTATATATTTCTTTAGAAAAAGTGACTCGTGTCATGTATTGCAAATTAATATTTCATAAATAAGAGAAAGTAGAAACGAAATTGTTCATATTGTTTAATACGTTCTGTACCGCGTGGGGCGTATACGCCCCACGCTAAACTTTCCGTTGAAGCCATTGGGTATTGTCATTGTAAAATGAAGAATTTATTAAAAATGTATTACGCAGTCAATTATGGGCACCTTAATACTATTGTCGCGGCGTTTATTTGGTCGTGGGTCATATTGAGAACAACTAATACGCTGAACCAGTGCAATTGCACAAAATATCATGCTTTGGTTAATAGAAAGGCTGTCGTACTACAGCACGACAATGCAAGGCTGCACACTGTAAAAGTCACGCAGCAAAAAATCAGAGAACTTGACTGGGAAATTTTGGTACATCCGCTGTATTCTTCTGTTTTAGCCTCACCCGATTTTCATTTATTTAGATTTTTACAGCATTTCTTAGGAAAAAGTTGTCCAATTACGAAGATGTCAAAAATTGCAATGAAAAATCAAGGGACTTTTATAAAAGAGACATACAAAATCTCATTTCTGAATGGCAAAATGTTGTAGACAATTATGGCGACTATCTCATTGACTGAGTGTTTCATGTACGATTTAAAAAATTTAAATAAACTTTAGTTTCAAGAAACGACATTATTTATGAGTATCCCTAATACATAAAAACATTTGGTAAACTTGTAGATTAACTTCGCCAGTTTCGATTTTAAATATCTTGCAGAAGTCGATATTTTGAACAGTATTTTTCTGTTAGAAAAGTATCGGAGTCTTTTAGTTTCCCAGATATTTATAATAAAAACTGTCGAATTTAGACTAAAAGAATTTTTAACAATTGTCAAGCGAAATTAGTATAACTGTGCATCACTAGAAATGAAAAAAAAACCAGCTCCACTAATACGATTTCTTGCTATATGTAATGAAAGAAATCCACTTTTATGTACTGTAAGGCACGGCCTCAATAAATGAAGGCGAAAAATTAAACAATGATGCTAAACGAAAGCATAAACACGTCGTTTTCTGATAGACATAAATAGATCACCATGCAGCGAACGTGCTCGCTATGCTTGCGAGTGTATTGTACATATGTACACACATGTTAGTAAGATTTGATGTGCTGGTATCGGTTGTCTTTTATGAATATCTTAGAAACTAAAGGGGTCTGAGATTTTTGTAGGAAGACAAAGTATTTTTGTAAAGTTTGAAATACCGATTTCTACAACGTATCCAAAACTGACTGCAATCGGGAAGGAGGTGATTTTTCTGTAGTTTTATCTAACGAATACTTCAAAATGGTCAGTCTGTAATACTGTTAGATACTTAGTCGTTTCGAAACTGTAATAATATAATTAAAATGCTCTTACGTGTTTTGGCAAATAAATGTCATAAACCGTAGCGGAATCCAAATCAACAGCATGGAAACCATCAGCGCTGCCGTAAATAACTTTCAATCTCGTGCCTTCTTCTATGGTAAGATCGACAAGAAGCGGTCTATGCGCAAGTTCACCGAACGACTTAAATGCCATAAATTTATGATAAGGTTTCGGCGCCCAAGCATAAATTTCTATGGAATCCTTCAGCGCGATAACAAGAAATTTGATTCTCTCGTATTTAACTATTTTAAAATGAACTGCTCCTTGAAGGTCGCCAACGTTGATCCAACCATTGCGTCGTTCCACTTGCTGAAATATATAAATAAGTTTTATTTGAAAAAGTAAGTACTCAATACACTCCGATCAGTATCATGTAATAAGAAAAAATTGGAAATCTTACGTCGCTGTGTCCGTCGGTTCGTAATATCTTACTCTTAAGCCACGAAAGATAATATACCCGCACTCGATTCTTCTTTCCGCTAATTGTAACCAAAATGTTTTGACCTTCGAGAACTTCCATTTGTTGAAATCGTCTTCTGCTTATCAACTGATACACTTTACCTTGACCACTTCGATCTAGTAGCATAAGGCCATTCTCGGTGCCGATTAATAAATTTACTCCTGTGAAAATTTAAATGCATCGAAAAATGAAATCTGGGTTCTGGAAAAATGAAATTTTATACAATGGACCCTCGGTTTTCGAACGTTTCCCTTTTCGAACAATTCAAACTAATAGAATTTTTGTTTATCAATGACAGCCTGCAAACAACCTATTTCTCGTACGGACGGCGGGAGCAGGGGCCTCGATCAATTACGTCATAGTTTTCGATCAATGTATATCGATGAAACATATGTATGCTCGATTTCGCAATACCTTGACTTTACTGTATTTTAAAGAAATCGCTAGAACCACAAAAAATTGCTAGAACCACAATAGAGGTGAGAAATTCACGAAAAAAAGAAATTCTGATATAGTTGATATGTATGCTTTTACAGAAGAAAATTTCATTTGTTACCAAAGTTAAATTGTCGTTCCTACTTTATATTTTACTGTGCTTGTTTCTTTTGTAAGATTTTATTTGCTATTATTGTTTTTCTATCAAATTTTATGCATTAATTTTTCTTATAATGAGTTGAATAAATAACCAGCTAGTATTTTAGAACGGATTAATCCCTTATTCATTACTTCTTATGGGTAAAATAGTTTTGATTTTCGAATAAATCGGTGTTCGCATAGGGTTTCGGAACGAATCAGGATAGAAAACCAAGTGTTCACTGTAATAATGAAATATTCAGATTAACAATCAGGTTTGTTTTGACTATTTGTAGCATTTAATTAGATTCAATGTGTCCCCCAACGACTCGTACGATCGAAAAGAGCATGAAATGTCTGGTATTGATAAAAGATTATTAATCGTGGACCCTTAGCATCATGATTTTTTTAGTGTACCTCCAAAAATTCCTAGCGAAACACTGATTACCGTGAAAATGAATAGATAGTACTTGGCGTAACAATTTTTTATTTAGACGGAAAACTTTGAATATAACATCGACGTTACACCATGCAGAAAATGTGTTATAATACTAAGCCATTACAGGTGTTTATACAGGTGTTTTTACTGTTATTGTTACCAACGCTAGTGTTACATAGAGAGTATATTATATCTATAGTAGTAGGGAATGATGTGATGAAGGGAGAAAGAAATGTACAAATATTTCAAATAAAACTTTCCGAAATGTCAAATATGTAAACGTTCATTGTATTCTGACAACCAAATGATACTTTTTGCAAGATCTAGCATGAGTGTAACATACATAAATCATATTAGAAAACACCTTCACTACATATAGCTATAAAGTTTTTCATTTCCACGTGTACTGTATCATATACGTATTTATGTCTCCGTTGTACATTTTTCCTAAGAAGGTAAAATAAAATGACCACGAAAAAAATGAAACATGTATCTGTTGCTTTCGGTAGTTCTAACGAAACTATACATACGCATTGCATTGAGTGAATGTGACACTTTGTTCTAGATGGAGTTTTATATTTACAAATTTTTACTAGAGGATAACTTGTAAAATATGTAGTATCTAAAATTTGTAGCGTAGTTTCAGAATAATTAATATAAAAAAGGGAAGCCTAACGGTTGAACTTAAGGTTTCCCATTAAGCTTCGAAGGGGTGTGTTTCAGAGTTTGGCGAGAGTGCGAGCGAGAAGAATGATTTTTGAGTGCGAATGTCCGAAAGAGTGTCTGTGTTGAGAGAGTCGTGAGTTGGCCTTCGTGGCAGCAAGTTGCGTGTAGTTTGAGTAGCGAGTTGTTTGTATATACATACTTCCTTTTTCTTATTGTTAATAGACTTAGTTATTTTGTTAGTGTCTTTCTATATTCTCGTCTTAATTATTTCCGATCCACATATTTCCACACTATAAATATTATTACAATAATGTAATTACTTATGATCATGTTACACGATTATACTAAGGGTTTTAAAAATACTATACTTTCCTTTGCTATACGAAAAGAATGTTTACCATGAAGGCTAATTTCGGAAATTAATTAGTTGATTATATAGAAAATATTTTATAAAATACGCGAACTGCATCTTCATCTTGAAATAATTCAATTCAAGTAATTATTAATATCTTAAATGTATTGACTATTCAAAATGTTCTTGAAAATAAATAGTTTCACCTGAATACTATAATCAATGCCTGAAGAAACTCAAAATAATCTATTGTTACAATTTTTATAGGGATTACATATTAATCAGATTAAATGCTCAGTAGTTCTAGTGTTGAATTATTCTATATACAGTGACGTTCAAATGTTCCTGGCCAAATAATTTTTGGAATTTTTCTTTGATAGGATGAATTTAAAGGAGGTTTTGTTAATATAAGAAATAAGGACATATTTACGTGGTTGTAGACTATAAAAGAAATTCGTACTATTTTGTTTTCATTGTTTGTATATTTAAAGAATACCTAAATTAATTGATGAGATCAGAAGTTTACGACCAGTTGCTGTTATAAGTTGGAAGCGATTAATGAGAGTTTACACTGAAATGACATTACATAAAGTTACTACTGCATGTGGTACCCGGTCGTTAGAATGTAAATACGGAAAATCGTGATAACGTTGTCGGAAGAAAGAAAATCATCTCGCGAAATTGCTTCAACGGTAATATCGTGTAAGCGGCATAATTAAAAAATATCGTGTTTGACACGGGTTAGAAGCCCGTTCACAAAGTGGAAGACTCTGAAAGGCCACAAAAATAAAACTACAATCATAAAACATAAATTAATTGCAGATTCAAAGAAGATACAGCTACCGACATCGCAGCTGAATTGCAGCAAGAAAAATTGCTAATTTTACAAGGGAAACAATTTTTTTTAAATTGTTCGCTTCGAAATTAATAATTTAGATTTCATGTATACACGTTGCAGTTTTGGAGATATAGTAAAAAATAAACATTCAACCCTGAACTTTGAGGGGTGTTTTCACCTCTTCAGAGTGGATGTTGGCCGATAAGAAGAAATACGTGTCAAATGTTTTCTGGGAAATTGTCTTACATAAGTTTGATCAAAATCGGTGCGTACTGGTTGGATAGGTTCCCTTGCGAGGCGATGTATGTATCATGACAAGAAGATTGCATGATACAGGACTCTTTGGCAGGGTCAGTCGTCCGAAAACTGATCGTTTTTCGAACGAATGTAAATTTAATCTCTTTCGAAATCATTGCAAGTATCGAACACCAATTACACTGTGGAACAACTTTTAACCTGTGTTGCTTTTTGCAATAACCATTAGGTGATTCTTATAGAGTTCCCTACCCTAAATACGAATCCGAGAACCAAATTGCTGGGTCACGTCCAGTTTTCGAAAAAACTGGGTTTTTGTAAAAACGGTCGAATTTTTCAGAGAACCAAGTGTTATGTGAAAACTAAAAACGATAGGCAGTTAAAATTTGTCGTAGAAAATAGAGGAGACTTGCCCGAATACAGTGACCGAAATAATCTTAAGTTCACACTATTAATGATACGTTATTCCTGTTTTTATGACATATGAGTATGATAATATGTCACTTTCTTTCGCATATTTATCTTAAAGGATCCTTTCTAAGGTATTTGACAAAAAACGTAAAGTAATTTAAGCGTATAATGTTTATTAACACAAATAACGACTTTTTTGCTACAAACAGTAGCAATTTCTTTGCGAAATATATATAGGTTCACTATTTTTTTTATGAAACAACGAATATTAAAGAAAAATATTTATAGATTTAAAAAATAATAAAAATTCAATATTTTGTTGAACCCCCGTTGTTTTTAATAAGTTCAAAGATTCTCTTTGGCATTGAATCGATTAATTTTTTTAATGTCTCCAATCCAATTTGTGACCACACTTCTTTGATCCCTTCTTTAAGTTCTAGGACACTTGTATACTGTTTCCCGTTGGAATACACCTTGCGTGCTAAGATTCTCCATAGATTTTCGATGGGATTAAGGTCTGGACTCCTTGAAAACCAAGGTAAAACCGCGAGGTTAATTCGTTCGAATCAGTCCTTTGTGGATTTTGCCCGATGGATGGCAGCATTGTCTTGCTGAAATGTGAAATTTGGTCCACCGATTTTATCGACATACTGAGCTAATGCGAATACTAATATTTCTTGGTATTTTTCGGCATTGGCCTTTGGAGGAAACCACATTGCAGATGTCTTTCCTTGGGATCCAAATGCAGCCCAAATCATGACACTGCTTTCTCCGTAATTTCGGCTCATTTTTACTTTTTTTTTATCACGCAGATCATGTCAATAGTATTGGAAACCATCTGGGCCATCGTTAACATAAACTTTTTTTCGTTGGAAAATACGACATTTCTCCATTGTTCCGTCCATCCCATATGCTCTTTCGCAAATTTGATTCTTTCAGCTCTATGAGCTTTCGTAAGCGGAGGTTTTTCGCTTCTTTTTGTATAACGAAGGGTTTGACTTTCTTTTAAAACTTGCTGTACTCGTCGCACAACAACTGATAAATCTAATTTTGTTTTTATTTGGGCTGCATTTAATTTATTTTTCTGGGCCTCGTGCAAAATATTCCCCTTATCTCGCAAAGAAAGTTTTTTAGGAGGACCAGTGGATTTTTTAGTGGCATATTTTTCACCTAATCGTAAATAATTGTTTACAACGTTTAAAGATCGATGTATTTTTAGTGCAATTGTTCTGTTTGAAAGTCCTGTATGTTTGAAGGCAGTAACTTTTCCTTTTTCCTCTTCGGTTAGTAGTTTTCCACGCCCTATTATAATGTACAAGTAATTAACGTTTTACACACTCCCTACCCGGTGGGGCGTATGCGCCCCACGCTGAACTTTCCGTTCAAGCCATTTGGTATTATCATTGTAAAATGAAGAATTTTTTAAAAATTCATTGTGCAGTCAATTATGGGCATCTTAATACTATTGCTGATGCGCTCATTTGATCGTGGGGCGTATACGCCCCACGCGGCGTGGTAGTCACTTTTTTTTACTGCGATTTGTTTTAACGTTAAAAAATGCGGTTCCCAATCGGCAAGGAACTGTACTGTAAAAGTTGCAACATTCTGTAATAATTGTGTGGATAAA